GCTTAATAGTCCCATTTTAGTTGGGTGGTGACCTCTTTAGGCTTGTAAATAAAGGTTGTGTCATGTGGACACGTGCGAGAGCTTTTCGGTCTGTAATGGACCATTTTACCCTTTGTTGTGCCACTGTTCAGAGCTTGTAAAGTCTGTTTGTAATTTGCATTGTCTATGAAGTGTTTTTTCGGACATGTTTGCTTGTTGATCCCGATTGAGGCGTTCTCTCTTGCCCGTTCTCTCTTTTGTTGGTCCTAAGGGACAATGGGAGTCTTCGGGGAGGCTGACCTTTGCGGACGGATACGCAAGGGTGCCGCACGACTTAGGCAAAACCAGCTAAGTCCGTGTCAGGACGGTAGACCAATGGTGGTGTTCCAAAGGAGATCCGGGCACCGTAAACCTTGCGATCCCCTAACGCCGCCGATGATCTACCGTCTATGAAGTTACTTTTTAACCCTTTTTATTCCCGTCGATATTGATAACGTGAGGATAATTGGGGTTAAATGTTTTACTTTCGTTAGTGTAGAGATCCAAATGCTACTTTTAAAGTACAGAGAGCGGAATACTAATCCTAGGTAACTATAGGGGGTAATCTGTAATTACCCCCGATGGAGTAAATGGATAAATGCTTCTATTTCATGGACTTGTTAAGTAATTGCATCCCTTTGACTAATTAAACATAAAAAAGGTCAAATGACTCCCAAAAAATTTTCTCTGCTTATATAATTTTTTGGAGATATATTTTGCAGCAAATATATTCAAACATAGTTTCCTGATATAAATTGATTAATTTGCTGTGCGTGTTTTGAATGTTCTTCATGCCCATCATTTACTAAATTTTCGTGATAATTTTTTTGGGGGGAGAATGACAGATCATCAATCAACATTACTTGCATATGAGTTGGGACTTGATTATCAAAAGATGTTAGTCATACAGCAATTTTCAAAGGAAGCAATTCTCAACACAACCCAGCAACTTATCCCAAGTCAGCCAATTAGGTTGTCAGACTATGCTCACACAAATTTCAGCAAAAGGTATATTCATGTATCCCAAAATCTAATTGCCATATTCAAACTATGGCTAATTTTGTACCTAAAATGTTAGTTATAAAATATACTTATAGGCCATACAGATAAAGCAAAATACAAAGCCTTAATTAATTTGATTCCAATATTACCTTATGTGATCTTAATTCATATATCAAGCATCATCTTCAAATTCTGATTTCTTTTATTTTCACAGATTTACTTAGACAGTGCAACAGGACCAAACAGGATGCTGTTATCCTCTTGGGTCTTCAATTCATATAACTGTGGTGGTTGCTACAGAATTACTTTGTTACAGAGTGGAATCTGATCATGTAGGTAGTTTTTAAACAAGACCATAAGGCATTTTGAGTTGGTACATAAATCAATCAAATTAGCATAGTAAAACATATCCAGCTCAGTTTAACAGTCAAAGTGGGGAGTACCCATTTAGTTGTCACACTAACTTGCAGACACGTAGCTCTAGGATGTCACAAACTCTTGGGGAGGGAGGGAGAAAACACATCACTAGTAACTACAAGCATGACCTTTTTCACGTATCTGACAGACAAGTAAACCCATTTTACCAATGCCTCCCTTAGTTTAGATACTTGCATACATAAAAAATAACCTGAAACAAAATTGCATACATGCAATCATGGAAAATGCAGTCACAAGACACTAATACCAGGTAAATAAGCTAATTAATCTCAATATGTTGCATTCTATTTGACAATCTGGATTGTTTTGCCTAATGATATCACTATAGCATGCTATTTTATTCCATAACAAGGGGAATCTAAATAGAAAATTCAAAAAATCAGGTAGATAAAAACCTGATGGTACACTGTCCCCAACAACTCAAATGGAACCTCAATACCTATCGGGGCCTGAAATTAAGACAGATAAATAAATTGGCATGGGTTATAATCAGAACAAAAGACTTTGTCCAGTCAAAAAATAATCCAATTAAAGCAAAAACAAAAAAAAGAGAGTTTAGGTAATAGAACATTACTTTTGGTTTCACGAGACATGTTGTACCACCTTTGAGACACTCTGAAGCAACTCCTCCATAAGCCCTGACCAATCCTCCAGTTCCTAGTTTTATACCTCCAAAATACCTAGAAATAAATGTTCAAGCTAATCATGCAAAGACATATTTTTTATGATCACGAGTAGATAATATAAGCATGGATAAAATGGAATGTGATCATGAGATGTTTTAATAAGAACATCAGAGTCATATGCTTGATAGAACTCATAGGATAGGAATTTCCACATCAGAATTCAGATAAGATAGGTAACTTAAATTTAACAACAAATCATACATGCAAGTACAAATGAATTTTCAGTAGTCTGCACTATCAGTCGATTCAGCCTGCTCATCATGTTGGATGCAAAAGTCAATAGGAAACAAATTGACTCTTTACACAAAAGGAATACCTGATAACAACCACCATCACCATATCTAGTCCCGAAGAAACAATGGCAGAATACATTGGTTTTCCAGCTGTTCCAGATGGTTCGCCATCGTCATTGCTCCGATACTGGTCTCCAAGCTGCAGAACATGTCCAGTTACAAGCATAAGGAATTCATCATGAATAAAAGCTTCACTGGCAACAAAAGGGAGTGAATGCCAGTCACCTTGTAGGCCCAGCAATTATGTGTGGCACGCGGATCTCGGACCTAAATTCACAATGATAACAAATGACCGATTAAAAAATGTGCATACAGCAATCAAAAACTTGTTGAACGTGGACAATAAAAATGGCAGCGCAGGTATAAGCATAACAAAACAAAATCTAACAGTGAGAAGGATAACTCCTGGTCCTACTGAAACAACACCGTGGTCGATAAATATCAAAGCATTTTGGCCATTTGAACCATTTAGGACGCGAAACAACAAGACTTGTACGTTTAATTAAATAATTTCTCCATTTACATTTAATATCAAACCTTTCCCAGTAATCACAACTCTGCAAAGTACGATTGTTAAAAACAACAATATATATTTTTTCTAAACAAAAAAACAATATATTACGATTAGACGATAGCACATTAAAAAATTGATTTTTTTTCTCGGCAGATCAAAAGAAAACTCAATGAATATGACTCGAACTGATCATTTTCCGTTGCAGGTAATTGACGGAAGAATAATCAAACCCTAATCGCTCCGCATGTGTCGGACTTCGATAAGTAGAATCGAACCTAGAAGAAGGGAGCGGAGAAGAGAGAACCTCGGAGAGGAAGGAATGGGCGGAGCGCTCGTCGGAGATGGGGGCGGCAACGGCGAGGAACTTGCTCTTCTTGATCTCGCGCTCGCAGCTCACGCGCTCCTTTAGAGTGGTGTACGGAGACGGCGCAGAAGACATCGCGCGGGCAGTAAGCCCTCCTCCTCCACCACCGCCGCCACTGCCGCAGCACGGCGTTGCAGCTTCCTGCGATCTCGACGCAGTTACGATAAATGAAGGGAAACGGAGGCGGAGCGGTGATATTCTCACCGCCATCGGAGGATCCGACTTTAGAAAGAATTTTGGTCGTGGGCGGAAGCGATAAATAACGGCCGTTACATTGATTTTATCTGTGGTGTGTAATAGAGTTATAAATACTGTAATTATAATTTATAACGGCTTTTCTTTTCAATTTTGATAGAAAAGGAGCCCAAAAGGTTCTCTCCATTAATTTTTAGAAAATTCACTATAATCTTCAATAAAAATTATCATTAAACGTTGAAATATGATTTTGCTCAAACCATCATCACTATAATTGATTGAAGGATCGGGCATGGGTTCATTGTTTGGACGAATTGTAGGTTTAATTACTTTTAAATATATATATATAATATATGAATGATATTATAAAAATGACTATTTTATAATGTAGTGAGAGAGAATTATATGGACAGAGCAAAAACAATAAAAATGAGAGAATTAGTGAATCAAACTAGTCGAAGATTTGAACAATATTGGAACAAGCAATATGATTACATGAAACATGAATTATCCTGATGGAAGAAATGATGTTTCCTAGTTGACGAAGCGGGGTTTTACACTCACCGTAGGGTCTAGAACCGAGAGCAGCCTGCAATAGTCCTCAGTAATTCAATTTGATCAGTGATGCTCCCCAAGATTATTGTCGTATCTTTGCTCCTTTGAGCATTTCTTTTTTACTCACTGTTGTGCGAAAAATAACTTAATCGTACAATTCATCCACATTGCACTCTCCAAGGAAAACTTTGACACTTCGAGGTGACCCGCAGTTGCCTTCGGCTATCAGTGCTCTATCATTTGCGGCCACGTGTGCAATGATCTTGTATATCATTTCAATCTGCTCAGATGGTAAGGAGAGAAGAAAAAGAGTTCAGGTGTTTGTAGAAGAAAAGATTGATGAAAAGCAATAAACTGCAATGTCTCTGGTATATACAAAATTTTCGATTTAATGTTCAAATGAAAAGGAACGGATCTTTCTGAACTATTTAGGATTGCGTATCACCCAGGATTATGTGGAAAAACATTCTAATAGGTGGATACTTCAAGCACAACTGAAATCTTTTAAATCAAGGATCAAGATACCAACACATATTTATATATGGCTAACTACAACTTTGCTTTGTATCACAAACCAAGATCTTGCTCTAAATATATGAAGCTCCTCGCTTATAAAATTACAGAACATATTGGTGACCAAGAAGCTTTGGAGGGTGTAAAAAATAAAATTCAAGATGAAATATGTCATGAGGAGGGATTGTCCATTTCCTTAATGGTGGTGCCAGATTCTAGTTGATGTTTGTTACCCATTATTTAAAAAAAAAAAAACTTTCTATTAGTCCCCAAAGCTTTCGGTTTCATAGATTAGTATGTGTTGCATTTTCCTCTATGAATGTGGCCAGTATTATAAAATAGCCAAGTAATTATTGAATGACGGACAATCAAGCACTGGTACCTGTTCTGGGGCATGGCATCGTTCTGCAATTTCGTCAAGTGTCAAAGGCTCAACAGGCTCTTTGCAGCTGACAGAGACAAGGTTCGAGTTAAAGGAAAGAACAACAGTAAAGCAATAATATTTGCAAGACACCAAAAAGAAATGATAGTAAGCAAACTTTGTTAGTTACTCTCTGTTCTGACAAAGTGAGAATTACGAATTTGGATAAGCAGATGTGCATCAAATTAACAAAGGAAACTATCAATTTCGAGAGTGAGCCTCAGTGGTCAGGTAGGATGCTTTACTGCAACCATCAGTCCAGACTCCAGACTTAAAAGTCATTGAAATAGCCTCCCTGCATATAAAGTCTAGTCTATGTACATTTTGACATCCACCAAATCCCAATAACTTTATTCAAATTTCAGCTAAGAGAAACACTATCAGTCAGAAGTCAAGGCTTCTGAGATAGCTGACATAGTGATGTTCCATAAAAAAACAAAGACAGTGATATTCCTACGTACATTACAAAACAAAACTGGAAAACTGCATTCTAGCAAATTTTAAGTCCACGATCAAGATAGTGACCTGCTAATCACGACTACTCGAGATCCCTGCTTGCAGTGTTTAAAATTTGCTATACTAGAAAAAACAGCCAAAATAGTATATTCATATTCTTTTTCAAGTTTCTAAGAGTTGCAATGGTCTTAGTCGATTCTGATAAAGACAATCACTTGCCATGTATGGATTTCAAAGATTTCCTGATAAAAAGTTAGAGCAGATGTTAACACCCAACGAGAGGTCACACACCTTGCTTCATTTAAAATGGAAAGAACCCTCTTTTGTAATGCTAATACGTCCCCTGCTGCTTTCTTTCCAGCTTCCACACCTTTAAAAATAAGAAAAATGAACAACTAATGCAACTTTTGAAGGAAAAAATAAAACATTTTAACTAATTTTAGGATATAATGTTGCACATACCAGGTTGATGGTATGCATTGATATTGATCAGACATGCATATATTCCAACAGCTCGCTCGTAAAGTGCAACTAGTGCTCCCACAGATCTAGGAGTTACTTCTTGCACAGTTACTGTAATGGACTCACGATCATTTGCATAGAGGGCTGAACGTGTTCCCTGTGCAAGATGCTCATATTCAATAACTTTTTAACTATTTGATAAGTATATTTGAACAATATCATATGCTTTGTAGGAGATGTGTACAAGAATAAATTTTAAAGTTACAAGGGAGAAAATAAAACCATCCTGCCTGATGATACCATAAAAATGGTTTAGTAAAAAAACGGAGTTTTCTTTGCCTATAGGAGACTTGGTGTAGAATTTTGAAGAATCCAGAATAGTTTTTATCGGAAGGCTTGTAACCCGATAAGCACATGGAAATCAAATCATGTCAATTACTTCAACATATCCTGCTGAGGCAAAAAGCGTTTCCATACTTACCATCAAATGTTTATATTAAATGTAAAAATAAGCCAGTTAGACGAAAGTAGTGCATACTATGGTAACTGGTAAATACCAATTCCTGCAGAAGGGGTTAAAAGTTTTATTTTTTACTAAAAAACCTTTAACTGAAAAAGAAGTTAAAGTTGTACTTCCTACTGTCACACAAAGGGAGCAAAATAAGAAAAAGAAAATGGAAAGACATCTGACAATTTCACAATAGAAATAACAGATAGAAGTGTCTTGAGAAAGATCAGTAAAATTATCATAATACCTTGAAGAGGGATTTTAGAATTGGTCTACTTTCTGGATTCAAATGTGGTTACCACTATTTGGCTTGTTACTTTGATGATCGCATGCCTAACCAGAGCAAAACATGGCTAACATGCACATGCTTCTGGAGACAACACTGACACATACCATAAGAAAATATCAATTTCACTGGGCATAACTAACAGATTTAGCCATTGTGGGCAAGGAGATTAACAAAAAAATATTGCAATCTCCATCATGACGTTGATGCATACAAAAAGCAGGATGTTTTTCATATTTCTTAGTTCTTACCTAATATTCATTCACAAAATGAATATACTATATAAGTATATAGCAGCAGAAATATTTTGTGCTATACCATGTCTTTCCACATACAAATCACATAAACTAACACTATTCCTGGATTATGTGAGGTGAATATAAATTAATGCAGCAAAGAAACTAAACACTTCTGGGAGATACATATGTCCCTTTAAAAATGCCAACAGGGTGGCAAATCCAACTTCCAAGTATATAACCAAGAATGTCTTTTGCAAAAAATGTTCATATTCCACATAGATGTGTTCTTGAATAAGGAGTACCAAATATGATTTATCTCTTAAATTTGATATTCACTTTACACTGTGAAATTAATACAACAGACAACAGAAAGATATAAAATTTTGAATATTTTTTAAGACTCTTGTCATATGCAGAGATTTATGGGCTTCAAGCAGATGACCAAAGATGTTATTTAGTGAACAAAAAGGACAATCTGAATGCCAAGCCCCAAATCTCGTGCCAATAGATGTCAACTGGTAGGTAGCACAGTCAAGATCTCAACCCAAATAATTGAATTATCCTCAATATTGAATGGCAAAAAAGGACTCCGATAATCAACTCCAAATAATTGCACATAACAGTAGAAAAAGACAAATATTTACTAATTACTATATCATATAAATAGTCAAATTATGTCAACCTAGTGGAAATTGACCACCGAATGTCATGAGAAACAATATAGATGTACCTGTAGCATTCCAAATAAATAGTCACCACAGGTTACTCCTGGTTCAAGCTCCCAGTCATGACCAGGGGGTCTGTCTCGTAATACTTCAATAAAAGTAACAAAGAAATTATGGACACCTTCCCTCAGCTGCTGGATGTAGCTGTTGACAAGAAGATAAGAGTATATAACAGTCAAGCTCAAAATACCAATGAAAATATTAGACAAAGTGAAGTGATACCCACGCATGCTGATCAGTACTTCCTTTATTTCCGTAAACAGTAATTCCTTGATTAACCTATGAAACAAAACTTTCTACAATTAAAGGTTTGTGAGAATCACAATATAATGGAAGCATGTATCTTATAACCATATAGCAAACAAAACATGTGTTCTAAAGATAGATGAAAGACTTCCAACATATCCTTCTTTTTTTCTTTGTTGGTGGGCAGGTGGGGGATAGAGATAGACAGAATTATGAAGAAATTAAAGTGACATCAGCAAAGGTCAGTGAAAAACCAGTGCATATTTGCAAACTCAAACAATGAAATAGAAAATAGTTGCAGCAAAAGTAATGTTGGTTTGTCGCAGGCAGTCCTTAATAATAGTCAGTGAAGATGGTGAGGGCAATACAGTTGCAATGTACAATATAGCACATATCATGATGATTTATAGACAGTAGCCTTTCAGGTGTTTAAATTAGAAGATATTTGCTGTATGACTTGATATCCTAGTCAACTGATGCTTTATGGAGAAACACCTGCTCAAAGTCCACAACCCAATTATAATTCAAATGTTACTAGCAGCAAGATAAGATAATAAGCATCATCATATCCATCTTTCCCTCTTGCAAGGAATGCTGTTAAATGACACACTGCATGTACCCAGTTTATGTGAAATTCAATTATCCATTTTTAAGTTGTTTACTTTTGTCTTTTGCTTTTTGTTGGTTCAACCACAAACTGATCAGCATAATCATAATACAACTAAGGCCGAACATGTTGATCTTTAAGTCAATCCAACAAGGGATTAGGTTTAGGACTCCAGGGAACTCTCAGATAAATGACAAGATGATCAAATGAGTCCAAGAGACTAAATGATACAGACTAGTTACAGTAGAACCCACTGTAAAGTTTTCCTTTGTCTCTTACCCTTTTTTCCACACTGGGAATGTCCTGCCACCAGATGACATTAAGGTAATCCTTTCCCTCTTTTTCTCACTCATATATATTGCCCATGAAATCAGACAGATGATTTAATTGAGTTGTAAACCAAGTAATTAAACTGGAAATTGAAAAGCAAGCCCAATCACCAGGGTTATTTTTAGATATAACTTAACTGGACCTTCTATCAAAATGCACAAAAAAAATCCATGTAGTTCCACCCATTCACCATTTGAACTCGAGACACAATTTAGATTTCAAGAGGAGAACACATTGGAACCATAGACCAAATCTTAGAAAATAAAGAAATCTTAAAAAAGCATACTGACAGACCCGATTCCCATCAAGGTCGAACTCCTTTCCAAGTGATTCCATGACCAGTTGCTGCAAATATCTACTAAAAAGTAACAAGCTATCCTTGTAAGGAAGAACAACCATATCCTGTATCAAGTAGATGACTGAATCAGAAGAGCTAACAATAAAGATGATATGTGATGAGACAAACAATGGTGGAAGAAAGGATTGCAAACCTTGGACCCAACTCCATCAGAAGCCCAGTACCAACATAGAGCAAGAAGGGCTGCAGGATTATTCCTCACCTGGATAAAAAATGACAGTTTGTAAAAAGAAAAGACAATGTAGCATAGGGCTGAATGACTATAACAATCTGACAAATATGCTGCCGAAATTTTCAGATAATGCAAAAAGATATGTACCACGGTTGTCCGATTTGCCTCATCCATCAATGATGCACCAACAAGCATTTCTTTAATGTCGATACCCTGGACAACAAGCAACCATAGTCAAACTTTCACACCGACAACCTGACATCTCAAGATAATAAGAGAAGAACATGCCTGGAGTGAAGCAGGGAGCAAACCCACAGCAGACATTTCCGATGTTCTACCACCAACCCAGTCAAACATAGGAAATCTTGCTAACCACCCCTCAATTCTGGCTGCATTATCTAAAAGTGAGTTCTGCTGTGTGATAGCAACACCCTGCAAAAATTGTCTGATCTAAGTTATTTGTTTACATTGAAACAAAAAAAGAGAGAACTGCCTACCGCCCGAATGCAACTGAAGCAAAAACAGAAAGCATAAATGCTACCATTCACAGAAAAATTTGGAGCTCAAATGGACTGTAAATGTAGGTTCCTATACTTCCAACAAGCTCAGAGAATCCTAGTTAACCATCAGTTTGGTGTTTGTATCAGTCAAATTAAGTCATATAAATCATTTATCGATGTATTGTGGATAATACAACTTAAACTTCCAATTATACCAACATGACAGACATACTTTGTTTAATTCTCCAAAATTTGTTGTAGTATAAATCCACAACTTAATCTTACCCTTGACAAATACATCCATCACCCATCTACTGCTTCAAAGAAGATGCTTTGGTGAGAAAAGGAAACATAAAGATATCTTATCTCATGTAAATTTGCAAATAAAGAAAAGAAAAGAAAACAAAGAATAGGTTTATCATTCCTATTGCAAGTAAACAAAAGAATTTGCACTACTTCAACTTCAACTTTTTAACCTTTAACAATTTTAACTGAAGGGCCATAATCTGCAGGAATAAAAGCCATCTGAAATCATTCAGCCCTCATAATGCTCAAACCTTATCTCCGTATATCAAAATTCAACATATATCCAAGAAGTACAACATTTAGGGTTGGACTGGACATGGTTGCAATTTATATAGCAGCAGATATAGAGCCATGTACATTATGTTAGCTGCCAAGATAATGTCAACCACCCCACCACAATTCTTCTCTTAAAACTACCAAGTACTTAAATAATTTATAATTTTCCTTCTTGAGCCTTAACTAGATGCCTACACTAAGACCATGTTAATACAAAAGTATGTGCAGGTGCTCTAAGATGCAACTGTCTATTATGGATCAGAGGAATCAACAAATCACCAATTATTTGAAGAGGACAAAAGTCTACTTTTTGTTTAAGTATATGGCCTCCTGCTCAGATAATTAACCTAAGTTAAGCATAATTAAGACACCAAAAGGAAGCATAATCTAGCCTCCAAAAAGAACAATTCTCCCAAATGAAACTTGAGAACGTTGCTCCATTACGTGGAACATAATTCAAAACAAAAAATATTACAATTGCTAGCTGTATATTGTCAAACATATCACTGACTTACAATTGTTCAGAAAATTGTTCAAAATAGCTTCAACTGAGGAAAATATATCATCAACAAATGATATAACCTTGTTATAAGGAATTAAGCACACACTTCTTTCAATAAAATATGGAGAAAAATCAAGAATCATAACAAAAACCTGAGAGCAAAACCTGTTTTGAGAAATCCAGCCCAGCTTCTCGAAAGGCTTTCTGAACTTCCAGCAACCCATTTCGGGTTTCAGGGGTGCCTCCACTCTGGTACATAATAAAATAACGAATTATGCATAATGCTCACTCCAAGATATCATAACTCATGAAACTGAAGTCTAACACTACTTGACTAACCTTTGATATAACAATTACAAGTGTTGATGCAAGCTCAGGACCAAGCTGTGCTATTTGATGATCAATTCCAGCTGGATCTGTATTGTCAATAAATCTTATCTGGCACATCATGAAAATTAGAAACAGAAAAATAATCACATGTAGGACAGGAAATTCAAAATGAGATTTTAATAAGCCAATACTTCATCCAATTGTGAAAATAATAAAATGGATAACATACAAGAAACTTAAAGTGACTACTTAGGAGTCCAAACCAATTAAAGATTGATAATTTAAAATATGAGAAGCCTTCAGCGATACCTAGATGCTCCTTAATAGATGGAATTATATGGTAATGAGTGAAACACCTTTCTTTTCCACAGAAAAGTTTTTAGATTCCTTATCCTCTATTCTTGTTAAACATGGAAAAGCCAATTGATTTGCATGTTTGTGAAGTAAACAGTGGAGCCAGCATTTCCTAAGAATCAAACAGTTGACCCTATATATGATCTACTTGTTGCCTATTACATGATTAGTGAAGAAAACCAGATGAAAAAGTATTTCCTAAATGTACATAGAAATTACTAATACAAACAGAACTTGTCACAAGATAATGCTTCAAGTACTCTAGTCAATACCCTAGTTTTTATGTATAACATAATCTTTCACAAACAACCATTTATAATAAATATTGATATCTACATTTCTGTTTTGCAATATCTTGAGACTAAAACAATAATGCTCTAGCTACACACAATTATGTTTGAAGCAAATTTTGAACGAGGCCAAAACATCGTAAGTGCTTATGGCATCCCCTCAATGAGTTCAGCCAATAACCCAGACATGTTTCTGTGTGTTGCAAAAAGCGATATAATGTGCTATAAATTTCCCAGGAATCCGAAAAGGAATGTGGTCTTAGTAAAAACTACAACTACATGAAGGAGAGAAGAATAGAAAACAGTATATTAAGTAACGAAAAAAGATAATGAATAAGCATGAAACTTCCTAGCAATGCTACAAAGGGACTATAATCAAAAATGTAAATTAAGCAACTACACGAAATGATATGGGAAATGGGAAATAGCAATGCACAAACAATGTAGTGTTAAAACTCGTAATTTGTTGAAGAATAGAATCCAGATCCTTCACATCATAGCCAAATATATGAAACTCAAACAAAAGCTCTAGAAAGCACAATAAATAATCTAATTAATAGAAAAGAAGGTGAAATAGTTATCCATATAATTTGTACAGGATCTTTAACCAATCAAAGGGATGATGTCAAGTGAGTGGCAGTGATAGTTATGCAAACCAGATACTATAACATCGAAACCATTAACCAAATTAAGACACCTTATAGAAAGTAGGGTTGCATGCTAGGATATAGCAATGGGACATTAAACTGAAGAGTCCATAATATAACAGTAGATTTGGTCAAGGGCCAGAGACAAACCTTCAGAGGAGGATTATCAGGAGCTAATGCTTCGGCAACAAACTGAGGTCCCAGAGATGAACCTCCAATTCCAACAGAAAGAATCTGGGTAAAGCGACCAGCGGGAGATGATGGAGGTTTAATCTGTTTTCATTTAAAAATATCAATAGAATAATTTAGAGACACTTTATTCTAAAAGTGATGGTTTTTAAAATTTGCAATGTATCATGATGCAGTTTGCATGTCTCTCTATCAATGATAGATGAGAAAAATCAGTTAAAATCAATTAGACTCTAGTGAAAAAATAATCATACATAATCAAGACACAAGACTCCTTTTCTTTTTGTAGACCAACATTTTTGTGACCAACATGATGAACTAAAAAGGGAGCATTAAGATTCCATCACTTTGTCAGGTTTAAACTAATCTGATTCTCTTAGAACATGGTAGAAGTTGGATATCACTGATAGTGAAACAAATATGAAGAAATGTACAGCAACTGAACCTTTGGCCCTACATTTAGAACCAGTAATATTCAATAATTTGGCATTTCTTTTAATATATTTGGAATTTGGAAGCTATTACGTTGCTTGATTATTCTTGATTGGCAATTCATGGGCTGATCATGGATATACTAGGTAAATTATTTTTAAGAACTTAAACTCTTTCAGCAGACTTATTATTGACAGCTAACCGATTAGTTTTATCTGCAAGATATATAACTAACCAATAAATCTACTTTATTTACAAAATATTTATGCATGGGCATTCGTTAAATATAGTAGTTTATCATATAAATTTGATAAAACATAATTAATTCTACAAAAATTAGGTGTTATAAATTCACCATTTGCCCTGCCAATGAAGTATCATAGATGCTGCCAAAGCATTGCATTGAAGAAGGAAATTAACTTTGTTTGGTTAAAATTTCAACCCCCGTGTGAAAGACAAACGACTACACAAATTGTACATAGAAATTATGCACATCCGGATCTTTAGCCAAGAGCTAAAGAAACAGCCATGACCAACAGCAAGTTGTACTGCCAATCCGAGGATGAAACAGAATCGCAATGTACCATAATTTTTAACAAAATAAGAACTTAAGAAGGGGGGCCTTACCTTAGCACTGATGATATCGTCGGCAAACTTGCAGATGGCATCGAGCGTATTCTCGATTTGTAACCTCAAGAACGAGTTGGGAGCCAGCTTGGGATCCCTCAACCAGTAATGTCCGACCATTCGTCCCTCGTCGGGGTTCGCGATCGCGCCCTTCTCGAGTTCCTGCATCGCGTGGAACGCCTTCTGGAGCCTCGGCTCCATCTCAGCGAGAAATTCGTCGGTAAAGGCTATCCGGCTGACATCGAGGAAGAGACCTAGCTCCTTGTGCTGGTACAGCCAGTCCACATATCGGCGCCACAGCTTGATGGGATCCTTCTCGATGCCCAGCGTCTTCTTCTCCGGCGGCAGGGAGGCGGAGGAAGTGGTCGAGGGGGACCGCGGAAGGTCGGCGATGGAACAGGGCGGACGGAGGTGCGGGAGGCGACCCGAGGGGAAGATCGGGATGGCGGCGGCATGCCGGGAACTAGGGATGGGTTTCGGGGGAAGGAGGGGGCGGCGATGGCGGAGGGCGGAGGAGGAGTAGGAGGAGCAAACGCCGGAGATGGACGCCATGGAGCGAGAAGGGTAGAGATTAGAAGCGGAGACAACGAGATGAGGAGAGGAAGAAATGGGAAGTTCACATCGAACTGGGCCACACAAGACAAGGGCGAGGTGAGATACGAAACGGACTGGGTGTCGCTTTTATACCGGGAGGGAGACTGGGGTGAGGTGCGGCTCCCCTGGCCCATTCGAATTAGGGACCAGGGTTTTGTTGCATGAGCTCATAGTTGCCAACGCAACAGGTCGGCCTACTGACGTCATCACGGAGCGAGCGGAACCTGTTGCCTGTTTCGGTGAACACAGGTGAGGCGAGCGGCACACGGTGATGGAGGAGGCTCTGTCTGCACGTGCTGAGGACGATCGAAAGGGCTCGCACAAGTGGGAGGTGGAGCCCGCTGGCCGCTGTCTTTGTCTTATTACAGAAGAGAGATTTGAATCCTCGGTGGACGTTCACCTACAGCGATACGTGGCAGGAGCCCATTGGACAGTCGCAGTCGTGAATGGATCACGTGGGGTGTTTTATTTCGGGTCGGATCCTAACCGGCCCAAATCAAAGGCTCTTTCTTTTTATACCTTAGAAAAGCCCATGGCAGGGGTGTAACGCCGTAACAAACAATTATGCAGTATAGTTAATTGATTTGTGGGGTTATTTGCCCTTCGATTATTAGCCTTTGCACACTCGAAGGTCTCTCTCACGAAGCTTATTTGATGGTACACAAACATCGACCCAATAGATCACGATATCATCTTAAAATATACATACATACATAAATATATATATGTCATTTTTTTCTGAGTTATTGATGACATGAGCCGTGGTGGGATCAACAATGGCCCCTCCTCCGTGTTCTACACACGAGAGATGTGAGCAATAATTTTGATAAGATAGATAAGAGAATATATAATTATTGAGGTTTAACGAGAGCACAAAGATAACGATAAAAGTAGCATAAAATGATAATGTAAAGACGACAAGATGATGATGAATTTGATGGAGTCATGAATAAAATAATCTTTTTATTTTAACAATGAACGCTTTATAAAAAAAAATTTAAGTTGAAACGTTATGTAAAAGATTCTTAAAATGAGAGATTATATATATATATATATATATATATATATATATATATATATATATATATATATATATATATATATATATATATATATATATAA